GGGAAATCGCTTCACTATCGTTGTAACTGATCAAAATACGCGGTGCGATCGAACTCATCTGGTGCGCTACCTACTGAATCTCGTCCAGACTCACAGCAATTCTGCAAACCGAAAAGGCGAATCAGCGAACAGCGTATAGGGCGATTCGAGCGGCAAATTACGATGGTTAACAAGATCGCAGATAATGGCGTAAAGCATGCCTGAAATTTATTCTAATTGTCGAATTGTCGAAAAAGTGCAGCCCTATTGTTTTGAATAAGTATGCAATTTAGCTCAGCTCTCAGTCAAGTGAAAATGACCACAGGGCGGTGGATGAATCATCATCAGGTGACCATGCACTTTTGCGCTCGGTTATGACCGTACTGCGTACAGCTGGTATAGGAAAAAGAGATGTTCACTTCAAAACAAAAATTTTTTGACTCGTCTGACTTAAACCGCCAAATTTTTGACTTTCTAACTTGTTTCGTAAAAAAAATTGTAGTTTTAGTGGGAGAAAGATAGGAAATCTTAGACCAGTGCAGTATAAGAAGTGAATGCTGAATTTGGGGACTTGCAAACTTCTCTGTGTAGCACATGAATTTCTCATATAATTAGTGAAACGAGTGTAAAATTAAATATTTCCGACGGCCTTGTACGTTGAGAAGTCTGATTTTCCAAATATACAGTTGGCTATTTTATTTTGACCCGTGTGGTTATCCTGATAGTAATTCAGCGCTCGTTTTGTTTTCGACGGGTTATCAATTCAACAGGTCTCAATGCAGAAACACAAGGCAAGACTGCAGACGTATCCAACTTTCGCTGGTTTATGTTGGACTACGCCACTGATAGTTGTCTCATCTCAAATTTTTAGTAGCACATGCTTAAAGTATTGGAGATATGTTTCCAGAATTTTAGCCTCCAAGTTTCTGTAGCTTCTCGTTTTAAGATTTCGAATAACATCATGCACCGAACTCCTACAAAATGCAGAAAAAATCTTTGCATTATATTCGGGATAAATTTGTACCTGCATTTCTGCACAAAAGATATAAATAGACAGATGATTCTGGATCCTCCAATAATCGG